GAACGCTGAAGCTTGAGCAACATAGGTGGGCGCTGCGGATGGGGTCGGCCGTTTCAAATACCCGATGCTGTTAAGAGTGGACAACCAGACAAATGTACAGGCAGACAGACAGACACAGACAGACAGACAGACAGACAGACAGACAGACAGACAGACAGACAGACAGACAGACAGACAGACAGAAAGACAGACCAAAGCTTCTGCGTCAAAGGTTTCCAAGAGAGGTTATCGTCTTTAAAAACCGATTAAAGTGGTCGTCTTTTTGTCACACACTATAATCGGCACATGTATTGCCGATTTCGCATCCCCCTGCCCGACGTTCATGCAACCTCCACCACAACGACTAGGCCACAATGACGGGTAAGGCTTTGATAATTTGAAGATCATCATTACCCTGGCTTGTGGCTGTTCAAAGACGAATTGAAAATAGGTCCATTGAATATAGCCTTAAATGCAAGAACTGCCAGCTAACCAGGAACTGGTTAGATACGTGAGCGAATTTAATATCGCGAAGTACTTAAATATTTAAGTATACGCATGTACTTAAAAATTCCTGCGTCCTGTCTCTCGACTACACCGGCCGCTGTTCCCCACTCGCCACACAGGAAAGCGGCATTAGCGGGTAAATTTGTAATGACTTGAAAGAAGGCCTAACGGACAGCCTAAGAGGTATACCTTTAAGAAGGTCACCGCCCCACCACGCACAACACAGAGCCTTCTTTGCCAAGCCACCTTGAAAGCGCACTGAAAGCTCTCGCTTCTTCTTAAGACTCCGGCCTAGGTTACGCCTTGTTAGTGACACGTGGCCAGCTGTTAGCCATTAAATGCGCTTTAGCAGCGCTGAGTGCCGCGTTAAAATGGATTTCGAGGGTCTCACCTCTGGACCTTTGAGAAAGGCACCTTGAAGAGACGACCATGGGTGTTAACGGAGTTAACCAGAGGCCACAACTTTGCTGGCCATGCTACACCTGGGCTGACGAGGAGCTCGTAGAAAAGAAGGCAATGTGGCTGAATAGTAATCTTTCTTACAAGTTTTTACGAATTGGGAAAGGGACCAATACGTTGCTTACGAAAAATAACGTAGCTTCGTATTACTTCGCCCTCCATACTCATACGTGTGTCATTTTCACCCTGGCCCCGCCGCGGTGGTCTAGTGGCTAAGGTACTCAGGTACTGACCCGCAGGTCGCGGGATCGAGTCGCGGCTGTGGCGGCTGCATTTTCGATGGAGTTGAAAATGTCGTAGGCCCGTGTGCTCAGATTTGGGTACACGTAAAAAACCCCAGATGGTTAAAATATTCGGAGCCCTCCAGTACGGCGTCTCTCATAATCATATAGTGGTTTTGGAACGTTAAACCCCACAAATAAATCAATCAGTTTCATCCTGGGAGCACGGCAAAACAGTTTATCTTTGCTAAATACTCGTCTGCGCCCCGTGTTTTGCTCAGTTAGTAGCTTTGTACTTTGGTCTTGTGAAGGTTTATAAGCATGTTTCCTTAGTAATAGATATCTTAAGTCCCAGTTGTTCTGTGGATATAATAGCGTTGATAAACTGTGATGATTTTTCACTATAGGGCTACAATGTCATATGGACGAATCAACAAAAGGTATTGATCCATGTTTGGGTGGGGAGCTCGTGGTTTCCATGGTTACGCGTTCACACTCAGCCCGTCCCCTTAAGCACGATTGTATTCAAGCTGCGGCCAATTGACCAGACGCGCGTATATTTTGACAGCTGAGGACACAACCTGGCGTTCCTGCAATTCGACTTCATATACAGCAGGCACTCAAGTACAGGAAGCACAAAAGAACAAATACAAGCAATGTATAGCTCTATATTATGAAGCATTGGGCGCGAACCTAAGGAAAACATCACGTGACACGCTTCGTGCTCACAATATGGTGGTTAAGCCCTTTGAGCTCGTGCATACTTTCAGCCGAACTTGTCGACACTAAGTTGGCGAAGGGGCAAACAGCGCTGAAAGGATGCACTTTCGATGGGGGAAAAACGCACCACTGGCACTGCACTATAAGCAACGCAGCGATCGAGATGCACTTTTCCTCTGGCAGCCTCTTAATGTTTCAATGCTTTGCTTAATTTTCATAAGCGCGTTGAACCAACTAGCACACCACGGCACACTCCCGCATATTGAGACAATCTTCTTAGCCACCATGTTCAGACCTTGAAGTGTGCTGCATCAATCATGCCTTCTATACAATACAATGTCGAAGTCAATATGAATGCAACGTACTTATAACCATCTTCTACTGCGCTTTCTACTTTATTTATCACATACACGACAATATCTGGAACACACCACCTCTCGTTAATTTGGTCTTGGCAGGCTGTGCTCTAAAGATAATTGAAATACTACTGACCTTTGTTTAGATATTGTTGGAATGCTTTATTGTAATTGTCAGTGGCCTACGTGCCAAATTGTAATTGGGAGTATTCAATTCTGTGTAGCCTTCTTTTTTCAAGCTATGGATAATTCAGCGGCCGCTCTGTTTCTGTAGGCAGTCAGGATAATCAAACTTCAACTTAATTTATTTCAATTGATTTTCAGAGGTGATGGTTTTGTACTAGCCCGAGTAAATTCATAGAAGGTGGATGACGATTATGAATATTAGCGTGTACTATGAAACGAGATTGCGACCAACAGTCCTTCGACATGTTCGTTACTAGCATCTGCTATTCGACATAGTACTCCGTCTGCTAATGTCCACCATCCTAGCCATCTCCTTTTTTTTTCTTCAGAAAAGCGCCCATGTTTACTTATGTGTAGTGTCGTGTATACGCCTGGAAAGGCCCCAGTTCCATTAAAGGAAACTGCGACAAAATTTTGGGGCCGAGATGGCATGCGAGGTCGATTCTCCTGAACATTCGTGTATCATCTGCAAGATATCAACAGCGAACATAGCTTGGAAGGCACTTTATGCGACCGACTCCATAGCGGTATAGACACCCTCGGAGAGGACCCCAAGGGGACCCCCTACTTCCCTCACGTCAACACGCTGTGGTCAACAAAATAAGTTACGATGATTTCATAGCCGCCATTTTTCTTTTGCCGCGTTAGTTCCCGAAGTCTGTATTTCTCGGCGGCTGCATGGTTGCGAGTGCGTGGCCGTGGCGCACGCTGAGAATGTTTTGTGTTTTGAGACATTCCAGTCCCGTTTCCTCTTCCAAGGTAATTCTTGATGCACAACGTGCGAAAGTGCGTCACAGTTTTGTGTGCGGACGTGTCAAGAGCTGCACACGCTATAGGTTGCGACAGCTGCACACAGTTTTTGAAACTCCCTCAAACCGAAACTGAAACTGATTGATAATGAGGGGCCTGTAACTAATTATCTGTCGCGTGCTGCAGAAAACTAGGTGTCGTGCCATGAACAACAGGCCTCAGCAACGTATTGCAGCAGAAAAACGCGAGGCCAAAGTTTTTGTGTCAGTACCCCTTTAACATCAACCTAGGCTTTTTGTTTATTTTTGTCTCTGATATTGTAGACTTCTCTGCTTGTATCAACTGCTGATAATTTTATTATGCCTCTGTCCTCTTTGAAATTCATAACCTCTGAAGTAGACACGCTTTCCCCGAGAGAGAGAGAATGAGAGATAGATGATTCATTAGAAGACAGAGAGCTCGGCCTGAACTATAGTTCGCTCTAGCCTCCCCGAATCTTCAGAGCTGATTGTGGGACTAAAGCGTGTTTCATGGTGCCAAGCCTGAAAGGTTGCTTACGGAATGCTGTCTACGACAACCAATGTCAAGACTGAGTGCGCTCTACAGACATGCACGCGTGTTTACTGTGATATTTTCTTTACAGCCGCGGCCACGTCTTTGTATAGCACGCGAGCGGCCGGCCTTGCCCTGCGGTGCGACAACTTGCGGCCGTTGCGGGTTGTGACATCGCGTTCTCAGGAGCATGCGCAGCCTTACAGACATGTAGACCTGCTCTGCACGGGTGACAACGGAGGAAAGTGTGCTTGTTTTGCCCAAGATCCGCGCTCGCTCAGGGCGTTTTCGTCACATCTGTTTCATCAAACGAAGCGTGTTTCGGTTGATAAAACGCGCCTGCATCAATGATGAACGCTTTGTGGCTGTTTTGAGGCACGCGATTATATTAAGACATAATAATCCCAACAGCTGCGTAAAAAAAAAAAAACTCCAGACGGCCACAAAAGTGCGTCGTTTATGCAGACGTTTGTTATCAGCCTAAACGCCCTTCGTCTTATGAAATATGACGAAAGCGCTCTCAGCAAGCGCGGATATTCCATTAAGCAAGCACACATTCCAACGTTGTCACCCGTGCCGATCGGGTGACGAAATCACCTAGCACAAATGTATAGTAGTGCCCATTTCGCGATGATGAGCCCCGAGACGTGTTCTTTGGGTACTGCCCGCCCTATGTGTGGTGTTATGTCTGCTCCCATTCGTGAACTCAAACTCCGCCTAATTCGAACAGTTCTGTAGTTTCCTTCGTGGTCTGACTTCATTGTTACGAGCCTCATTGTATCACCACGAAGAAGACTTCACAAAGCCTGTGTTTCATGCATCTGCGCCTAAGTTGTCTCCGCAGAACCAAGCAACTCGTTGTAACAAGGGCGAAATCAATATTGTGACGTCCATAGGCGTGTGCAGGGTTCCCCTCCGGGGGAGGGGGCGAAGTTTTATCGCAGCGCCCCCCTCCCTGTTATGTCAATGTAGGGGACTGACATAGCGCCCCACGTCACAGCTGACAAGGGTGGGGGGGGGGGGTGAGCGCCCCCTTCCGTGCGCACGCTTATGCTGACGTAACAGAATAGTCGAAACGAGATGTGTCGATTTTACTTTTTTTCCTGACGTCGTACTACTTAAGCATGCTTCATCGTAGAACATATAAGGTGCAGTGTATAAAGTCCCGAAGAATGAATTAGAACGCTTTTTGTGCCTGAACCATTTGAACAAATTAGAAGAATATTGCTCTAACAGGCATTTTCTTTTCTTCTCTTTTTTCTTTCTCCAGGTAGAATGCCCCTGAGAGGCAGACCGGGCCTGGGAAGCCTTTCCAAGCCTAGCACTTGCACTTAGAGAATCGAGCCTTCGGCAACTGCGCCACCATATAAGTGCGCAACCGTCGTGCAGTGAGCAAGAAAAAGAAGATGGCGACTCCCATGTTCCGATCGCTAAAAACGATGCTGACGTCCCTAGCACTGCTCCTGGCTTCGGGAGCCATGGGCGCCGCCGCCGCCTATACCAGCGAAGTGAGCGACGGCACTGACGTCAGCACAAACGAGACCCGAAGCGGCGAGCAGTGCAAGGACGGTCTCATCCTTCCCGTATGGATGCCTCAGGAAAACATAAGCACGGGTGACGTTGTCGCTCGCGGCCTAGTCTACTTCCTTGCGCTGGCATACATGTTCATCGGAATATCAATCATCGCCGACCGGTTCATGGCTGCCATCGAGGTCATCACCTCCAAAGAGAAAGAGGTGACCATCAAGAAACCCAACGGCGAGACCCAGACCATCAGCGTGCGCGTATGGAACGAAACCGTGTCCAACCTGACCCTGATGGCCCTGGGCTCGTCGGCACCCGAGATCCTTTTGTCCGTGATCGAGATCTACGCCCAGAACTTCGAGGCCGGCGACCTGGGTCCCGGCACGATCGTGGGCAGCGCTGCGTTCAACATGTTCGTCATTATCGCCATTTGCGTCTACTCCATCCCTCCGAACGAGGTGCGACGCATCAAGCACTTGCGCGTCTTCTTCGTCACGATGACGTGGAGCGTGTTCGCCTACATCTGGCTCTACATCATCCTCACCTACTCCTCCTGGGGCGTGATCGAGGTGTGGGAGGGCGCCATCACTTTCATGTTCTTTCCGGCCACCGTGCTGACGGCGTACATCGCCGACCGGAGGCTGCTGATATACAAGTACCTCTCCAAGAAGTACAGGGTCACCAAGAGGGGTGTCATCGTGGGCAGCGAGGGCGAGGACGTCGAGATGGCGCCCAACAAGGAGAGGCTCGCCGACGGCATCCTGGGAGGCGGCCCGCTGCGCCTGTTCGGCGAGGAACAGAGCTCGGAGGCCAAAGAATTTGAAGAGCACCGCAAGGAGTACACTCAGATCCTGCGAGAGCTGAGGCATAGGAATCCGGATGCCTCGATGGACGAGCTGGAGAGCATGGCCCGAGACGAAATCATTGCCCGTTGTCCAAAAAGTAGAGCTTACTACAGGTTTGTTTGCTTTTATATTTTAGGAAATAACGGTGTATGATTGTGCCTCGGATGTGTATATTTACGTGAATTGGCATGGAATTGCTTTGTGATACAGCATGCTTCACGAAGGGCGCATGTCATAGTAAATAGTTCGTGCCTTCTACAGTTTACTGTAAAGCGATTCGTATTTAGCGCTGTGTTGTTTGTGTAGTCATCTGTAGATATTCAACTACCAAAGACAACAAACCCAAATGGGACTGTGCCCATGATGAACAGTTGAAAATTATATCTTCACTGCAGAAAGAAAGCCACGTATTTTCTCTTCAAGCACCAATGATGCATAGTGAACTCACAGCACCTCAAAAAAGTCCTGAACCATCCCTCGGTATTGATTAAAAGTGCATTCTATGAACAGCACAGCCAAAGGGCGCGTGGCGTAGATTTTACAAGCGAGGCGCCCAGTTACCAATTACTCGAATGTCCTCTCTTCATTCAAACGCCCGGCCCTCGTTTGTTGCGCGGTGCGCCAGTGGTATGTCGTCAATCAGCAAATGGCTTTTATTGGCTCTCTAAGTAGGTAAACCAGGACCGGTACCATGTAGAGTTATTGCTGCGGTCTGTCTAAATTTGGTGGCACTACGTTCAATAGATGGCTAATAATTAAACAGTAGCAACACTAGCACACACGTGAATCACAAGTGTTTGAACGGGGGGGGGGGGGGGGATCATGTTACACGACGTGCGCTAAGGTCGCTTCTTCCCCCTTATTACCCCAGGGTAGCTTTCGGTCAGTTGGGCTACATGCGAAGAGGCATAAAATGCTTAAAGTGTGTGGCGAATGCATGTCACTTCACTCTTTCGTAACGGACTCGAACTATTTTCCCGGCAGTCTATGCATGGGCTAATATACGCTCTGTTATTCATGTCATTCGATGATTAGTTATAAAAATGGTTCGGGGCCCCTGTCAGTAGGCTGCTGTTGGAATGTATAGTTAAAATCGGTAGCTCATTTCAAAGGTTGCATTAAATAATTCAGATAATGGAATACGAAGGTCCCATGGTTCGTGGTCATGAATGGCACGTGCAAATATACGCTGTTCTATTCCGTAACGTACAAGAAACATTATACGTAGGCGAATAACAGGGATTGCTACGAAATCAGGGTCAAGCTTTCTTATTCCTAAAAGGACCTTTTCCAACGTAGAAGCTCTATACGTCTTCTTTAGGAGCCAAGGAGCCGTATACAGTAGCTCTGTTTTCTATGTATGAATAGCTGTGGAAATCACCTTCGTCGAAACTGGGGCTCCATGGCTATAGTACAGTCGCCGACGTTTAAGAGAACGCAAATAAAATAGGGGGAGCCCATTCCTCGCAAGAATGAGCACATCTCACAGCGGGTATGGACTCCGAAGTTGTCCGCCACGCGCCGGTAGGTATTGTCAGATACCTGGTATTTTTCAGGATAATCTTCAAACCTGGTATGGGCAGGTGCCGCTCCGTTCGGTCCAGTTGCCGCGGCGTGATGACCCCCGAAATACCTGGTCCACGTCTTATCCCCGCGACCTCACGTGTACAGAATATGCCCTACTCAAAAAGTCGAATCCTCACCGATCACGGGAAATGGGCAATTGGGCGACTTGGGGATTCGCCATGCCAACCGTCAATAAGCTCTGTCCGATATAAGGAGCTAGCGTTTTCGGAGACTCGCACATGCCGTAGGCGTTAAAGAATCACTGCAAGCCGTAGTGAGCGTTGGTATAAGGTGGGGCTGATATACATAGATATTTTAATCGGTTCTGTTATTTTGGTTCGCGAGTTGGTTTTATCGTATGTGCTTTGGAAATGACTCATCTGTCACTCTATGTTTCACAGCTTTCCGACTAAACCTTCAGTTTGCAGTAAGCGCTTGTCCCTGTCTACGTACGGCGCCCGTATTTCAAAAAGCCGTGCGACCATTGTCTCCCCTTGCCCTGCAGGATCCAGGCGACCCGCAAGCTCATGGGTGCAGGTAACCTGATCCGGCGCAAGGCGGATCTTCGCGAAGTCGGGGTCAAGGACGAGGGCAAGGAGGAGAAAGTGGAAGAGGAGTGCGTGCGGCTGTTCTTCGACCCGGGTCACTACACGGTCTTCGAGAACGTCGGCGAGTTTGCCGTCACGGTGGCGCGCGATGGCGGCGATCCGCAGAGCACCGTGTGCGTCGACTACAACACCGAGGACGGCACCGCCAACGCCGAAACCGACTACGTGCCCGTCGAAGGCACCCTCGTCTTCCGCCCCGGAGAGAACCAGAAGCAGATCATCATCAAGGTACGTACGTACCATGTCTAAAGCCACGCCAGCAGGTGAGCTCTGTTGTGTGTGCTGTGCATGTCCCCATAGAGAAAAGCAAGAGCAATTGGCATTGTGTAGCCCGTACAATCCGGAGGTACAGTGGGCTTACGCCAAATCAAGAAAATAATTGATAAATTTTGGAAAGTGCTTTTACGAGAAGCCAGTTTAGGGGTTTAGGCAGCAGAATGCGATCGAAATGACGTAAATGATATACAATAGGTCGATTAAAATTGATAAAGAACACCATGAATTTGAATTGTCCTTTACGTGCCACTAAGTTTTAAGGCCGTAATCAATGTATTGGTTATAGTGTTGCTAGGGTATGTCAAGTTAAGTAAATTAGGACAAAGGTAGATTAGATCATGTAGGTAATCAATGTATTGGGTATAGTGTTGCTAGGGTATGTCAAGTTAAGTAAATTAGGACAAAGGTAGATTAGATCATGTAGGTAGCATGCACTAAAGTAGTATAGGTAGCGTACATGTAACTTTTGCGTGTGCGTTGTGTGATGGGGTATGTATGTGTTTGCGTGTCTGTTTGTCACCTTGTAAGCAGTCTGTGTTGATTTCTATGTTCGTGTCTGGGTGAGCGTTTTTCAATGCCTAAGGCTCTTGTGAGTTTGCTTGTGGTTTCATATGACCCAGGCACAAGGGTACGTACGTGTGCGTGTGTGAGTGCTTCTGCACGTGCGTGTACCGCAGTATTCTTTCCTTTTATTCTCCAGCTTTTCCCCAAACTTATCGCTTCAGGGCAAAATTTAACATCTTTAGCGTGGCATGTACAAAACATATATCACGCCACTGAGATTAACATATGTTGCGAAAAGTGGCGCGGAATGGCTGTAACAAGAGGGACACTCACGAAAGCACAGATGAAAAAAAAAAACTGCCAAAATGGGTGCGCGCGAACTATATGAATAATTTAGTCCTTCTTCCCCTATGTTGCGCAACTATCGGCAACATATGTCAAGCTAGTACCAACTAACCCAAACGCATGTTTTATTGACCCACCGAGATACGTCGCTGCGGTTGTCGTCGACGTGCGCGATGGCGAGCCCCAATTACAGAGGCCTCTCTGGTAATCCGCGCAGGTGATCGACGACGACGTGTTCGAGGAGGACGAGCACTTCTACGTGCGACTCTCGAATCCTCGGTACCTGGGCAGCGGCGGCAGTGGCGCCACCACCACCATGAACGGATCTCCGGGACAGCCGCAGCCTCCGGGACTCACGACGGGAGCGGGCAGGCCTCCCGTGAAGCTGGACGCGCCCTCTGTCTGCACCGTCATGATCCTGGACGACGACCACAGCGGCGTCTTCAGCCTGCCCGAGAGCCAGGTATACTAATGCTGAACAACTTCAACGTGCGTTGCCTTTGATGCAGTGTTGACCACATCTGAGGTGAACCCTTCATTGGCATTCGAGGCGGTAGAGCTACGACGTTTATTCTATACTTATCAAGACAGACATCAGAGTTTCGTACATGACGTGTTACCGTGGGGTCGACAAGCTCGATAATAATTTCCCGAATTATGAGGTGATCAATACTATTAAGATGGTCACTTTACGTGTGGATGACACTGTTAATTCGGTAGGTTGTTCCAGAGTGGTCGGGAGGTTTTGAAGTAATTACTTAAAAGATCAAGCAAGCATTACTGTTGAAATCAGCAGGCCAATGCATGATGGGGAAGCCGCAACATGATTTGCATAGAGTAGGGTGTGTTCAAATGAGACATGGAGCAAAACGCGACGTTTTGACTTTGCTGACTTCTGTGGCTAATACTAAAAGTACTTTTCATTGTTTTTCTATAGGTTCTGGTAGTCGTCAACCTTTTTTGTGTTAAAGTTTGTCATTGTTCACAGCGTTCACGTAGAAAAAAAATTACGCAGCTGGTGTCAGTGTGTTCGCGACCCATGGAAAAGGGGGCGAAATTCTGGTCGGCCAAAATTTTTTATCCGTGCATGAAGCTTTTCCGCTGTCAGTACGACCTACGTTTTTTTTTTCGCTACTAGCTGCAGCCCCCAAAAGTTTGGTTCACTTGGTGCATGGTGTAAAGCGTATTTTTTTTCTCTTTCGGACATTTGGGAGCGGCAAAACGCGACAAAAAGGCATCAAAATGCTTTATAGAATGCCTTGTTAAGTGAACCATTTGCTGGTACTAAATGTAAGTTACATTTTTTTTAGGATGGTTAAGACGTTCAAGCAAATATTATATAGAGGTTTATATGTACAAAACGACATCACAAAACACTGACCGCTGTTGAGGACAGGACTAACTCTATTTACGCTACATTGAGGCTGTTCCTGCCAAGAAAAAGCACTCAAATCACGAGATCACTTCAGATTACTGGGGACAAAGACGTGCCTTCACAGCACTGCACCCTAAACTTAACAAAGCACAAGCTCCAACTCTAAGAAGATGGCAAACACGTACGTACATAACACCATCCACCTTACACAGAGTCGGCCCCGACACACCACTCACATGCCCCCTTTGCAACCATCCCTCTTGCGATTTCGAACACATGCTTTGGCTGCGCCATACCCAGAGCGCCGCACAACTGAATACCCAAGAGGCTTGGCAGGAAGCCCTCAAGAGTAATGAATATAAGGAACAACTGCAGGCGGTCCAGAGGGCCCGGGACATGGCTAGAAACCTTTGGCTGCCAGCGCCATCCTGGGCGGAGCCTCCAGGCTGAATTAGGGGTCGGAATAGCCCCATCTCAGCTTCCTCAGGATATGTTTGATCAATTCAACCTCACTGTCTCTTGAGGCTGTACCGCGTTCCCAAATATGCCCTCATGAGGTGCATGAAAAAAAATTGAAAGAATTTCCAAGTCAGGCCTTTTGCAAACGCGTATTGGAATCGAGTTCTAATTACATTTTTTTCATAATAAAGTTTTAAAAATAACAAGCTATACAAAATTTGAAATTCATCGCCTCAAGAAGCCCGCCTGACGAAGTTGAAAGACACAAAATGTCCGTGCAGTTCTGCATCAAGACGACAAAAAGAGGCGAAGAAGATGCGTCAAAACAACTCGAACCTCCAATCGTTAACTAATCTAATGAAGTGCAAGGCGTTCAACAAAAGACACTATTCTCACAAAGAAAGACAGAGTGTGATGATGTACTAGGAGTTTAGGAGCAATGCGTCACGGATTCTGTCTCTATTTGTTGCGTGAAGTGCAAGGAGTGGGCTGCGTGAGGGCCCACGCACAGGATTCCGGGCGTTTCTACTGCAAAATCCGAATTGACGAAACTTTTTCACACTGTCTCGTTTTGCCCCATGGTTTGGCGCAAATGAGACAATGGTGCCTTTTTTATTTTTTTAAACACCCCTTTGAAATGTGGCAACATGGTCATATTGTCACGATGAGTCACAAGTACTGGGGGATATATTGAACGACCGGGTAGCTAGCTCTAGGACGACGGCTCGAGAGCCAGTCGTGGCTGGCTCTCGAGCCGAGAAGAAACACGCAAATCTTCTTTCTTTCCTCCAGATGGTAGAGCCGCTCTTGCAGTCGACCCACTACGTGTGGGTGGCATTATCCCCCCTTCCGAAAAGAAAAAAAAAGTCCCAAAAGGGGGAAAGAAAAGTACATAGCACCACCACGATGTTACGACATAGGCACGTGGAAAAAAAAGAAATTGGAAATTCGGATAAAGTAAAAATAGAAATGAACGAGCGTGCCAATATAGGAAAAATCGGTGAACGAAGAAGCAAGTTCACAAAAGTAAATAAATAACACAAAGAACGCTGTACGGCAAGAAAAAGGTTATGAACAACGCGCAATAAATGGTTTCATGCGCAACACATGAACGACATCCGACCTCGGTCGTGTCGTACTCCGTGCCTGCGATGTTGAGTCCGGAACCACTTCGTAGTTCACGTCACTGACGCGACGTAACACTTTATAAGGGCCAAAGTACCGGCTCAGTAACTTTTCACTAAGGGCACGGCGGCGGACGGGCGTCCACACTCAAACTTGGTCTCCGGGGTTGTAAAATACTTCACTGTGGCGGATGTTATAGCGCCGTGCGTCTGCCTGCTGTTGCTGGCCGATGTGTAGTCGCGCGAGCTCCCGGGCTTCCTCAGCACGCTCTGCGAATTCATCGGCGTCAGTTGCCAACTCGTCTTCGTCTTGACACGGTAGCATAGAGTCCAGCATGGTCTGCACTTCGCGGCCGTAGAGAAGCCGAAATGGCGTGAATCGCGTGGTCTCTTGCACGGCGGTATTATACGCGAAGGTCACGTAAGGCAAGATCCGGTTCCATGTTTTGTGCTGTACGTCGATGTACATTGAGATCATGTCTGCAATGGTCTTATTCAGTCGCTCGGTAAGTCCGTTGGTTTGCGGGTGGTACGCAGTTGTCTTTCGATGTCTGGTGTTGCTCAGTTTGAAAACCTCGTCCATAAGCTGCGCCGTAAATGCCGTCCCTCTGTCCGTTATTATACTGGAAGGAGCACCATGTCGTAACACGATGTGGCGTATGAAAAATTGTGCTACCTCAGAAGCCGTGGCTCGTGGGATCGCCTGCGTCTCAGCGTAGCGTGTCAAATAGTCGGTCGCGACGATCACCCATTTGTTGCTGTCCGCAGATAGGAGGAATGGCCCGAGAATGTCCATGCCGACTTGGTCGAACGGCGTGCAGGGTGCTTCAATGGGCTGAAGCAAACCAGCTGGCTTAACAGATGGTTGCTTTCGGCGCTGACATTCCCGACAGCTCTTGACGTACTTCTTGACGCTTGCCGAAAGTCCTGGCCAATAGTACCTCTCGCTCACTCTGGCAAGTGTCCGTGAGTAGCCCAGACGACCGGATGTGGGTTCGTCATGGCAAGCGAAGAGGACGTCGCCTCGCATGTCTCGAGGAACCACCAGGAGGTAGGTACGGTTGTTCGAACGAGCGTTCTTCTTGTACAGCACACCCTCTCGAAGGCAGAACGACGGCAACGAGCGGGATAAATGACGTGGTATGATTGTGCCCTGGCCCTCTAAATGATCGATGATCGGACGAATCTCTGCGTCATCCCGCTGCAGTTTACTCAAGTCTGATGAGCTAATGGCGCTCAGGAAGCCTTCGTCTTCCTCTGCTTCCTGACTGACGACATGAAGGGGTGCGCGTGACAGTGTGTCAGCGTCTTCATGCTTATGGCCGGATTTATGGACGATGGTGACGTCAAATTCCTGCAGCCGCAAGCTCCACCGTGCTAGCCGTCCTGAAGGGTCGCGCAGGCTTGCCAACCAGCAGAGGGCATGGTGGTCCGTCACTACCTCGAAGGGACGACCATAAAGGTACGGGCGAAACTTGGTGATTGCCCACACTACTGCGAGGTACTCTTTCTCCGTAGTGGAGTAATTCGCCTCGGCACGGGATAGAGAGCGGCTGGCGTAGGCTATCACCCTTTCGATGTCGTCTTGACGCTGAACGAGCACTGCACCAAGCCCAACGTTACTAGCGTCAGTATGGACCTCCGTGTCAGCATCATCGTCGAAATGAGCGAGAACGGGTGCTGATTGCATGCGCTGTCGCAGTTCATCAAAAGCTGCTTGTTGCTCGTTTTCCCAGACAAACGGCGTGTCGTCCCTTGTGAGACGAGTCAGAGGTTCTGCTATCTGTGAAAAGCCATGAATGAACCGGCGATAGTAGGCGCACAAACCAAGGAAGCGCTGGACGGCTTTCTTATCGACAGGAGCTGGTAATTCGGCAACAGCGGCAAGCTTGTTTGGATCGGGCCGGACTCCTTCAGCGCTAACTACATGTCCAAGAAATTTCAGTTCTTCATAGCCGAAGTGGCACTTCTGTGGCTTTAGAGTGAGGTCCGCCGATCGGATAGCCTCCAGCACGCTGCGCAGGCGCTGTAGGTGCTGCTAGAATGTGGCAGAAAAGACCACCACATCATCAAGGTAGACAACTGCCACTTGAGCCCTGTGAGGACAGTGTCCATCATTCGCTGGAAAGTTGCTGGCGCTCCACTACGGCGTCTCTCATAATCAAATGGTGGTTTTGGGACGTTAAACCCCACAAATCACAAATCAGTTGCTGGCGCTGAACACAAGCCGAAAGGGAGTACTCGAAATTGGTATAGGCCGTCTGGAGTCACGAAGGCTGTCTTTTCGCGGTCTCGCTGATCTACCTCGATTTGCCAGTACCCGCTTTTGAGATCGAGAGAAGTGAAATAATGGGCACGACGAAGTATATCCAGCGAATTGTCGATACGCGGTAGCGGGTACACATCCTTTTTGGTCACGTTGTTAAGCTTTCGGTAATCGACGCAGAAGCGTAGCGATCCGTCCTTCTTTTTGACAAGCATGACTGGAGATGACCACGGGCTGTT